ACCTCCTCCCTCCCTAGAAGCCTCTAAGCCTGACCCCTCCCAACCTAACACCAAAAAAAAAGAAGAAGAGAGAAAACAAAATAAACAGTGAAAAGGAACTCATAGGGAAGCAGTACTAGTAGAAGGAGAAAAAGGCTGAAGTAAAAGATCTCCCGGGAAAGAAGATTTAATAATGCACTGAAGAGTTCTGTGTAACTTCTTCTTTGCTTAAATGATACACTTCTTCTTCCCATAAGATTTTGATATTGTAACTTTTGATAGGTTGGGACTATCTCTGCAAACGGAGAAAGAGTAATTGGCGACCTAATTGCAAGGGCTATGGAGAAAGTAGGCAAGGAGGGAGTCATCACTATTCAAGTAAGTAATCCTATTGTCTATCTATGTATGCAATCTCTGTATGCATCTTTTGGTCACCGTGGTCCTAACTTATCTATATGAGCTTTAAAATGAAGCTTGATTTCAATGTGCTCTTGGGATGTGGCTGGAGCTGAAGTAGAAGATATCTTTGCCGAGTTTTACTAATTGATACCTGATGAATTTTAGTGGTTATATGGGAGAATTTGGGATAGAAATCAAGCATATGGGATTTTGATAAATTATTTTGTTGCCCAGTTATGAGAAACATCTTGTCATAGTCCAATTTGTATCTATTTGTTATACACTTTGGCTAATTTGTGGGAAACTTGTTACTGTAATGATGTGTAGCTAACTCATTTCTACTATCACACAGGACGGGAAGACATTGCTCAATGAGTTGGATGTTGTTGAAGGGATGAAGTTGGATAGAGGTTACATATCACCATACTTCATCACAAATCAGAAGAATCAGAAATGTGTATGTTTTTGGCTTGCTAATCTTAGTTAAGCTCACACAAGTTTGCTCGCTGTGCCAACATTCTTTACATATTTTGCACCATTCTCTTGTTTAAAACTCACTATTCTCCTGATGTCTGGCAGGAACTGGATAACCCACTAATTCTGATTCATGAGAAAAAAATCTCAAGCGTTAATGCTGTTGTGAAAGCATTGGAGTTAGCTCTGAAGGTGATCCTCTTACTGAGATTATCAATTTGGTGTCTATGAGATTGATCATGTTGCTGTCTATCTAACTCTTGCAGTCTTATTACATCTATGCAGAGACAAAGGCCCCTCTTAATTGTGGCTGAAGATGTGGACAATGAAGCACTCGCCACTCTTATTTTGAACAAACTCCGTGCTGGAATCAAGGTATGCTGATCAGTGATCAGTATTTCCTGTTCTGTTGTTCGACTTCTCCTCAGTCTGGTGATTATGTATTGTCTGTAAATGTCTACAGGTTTGTGCCATCAAAGCACCAGGCTTTGGTGAAAACAGGAAAGCGTATTTGCAAGATCTTGCTATTTTAACTGGAGGCCAAGTGAGAACTGTTCTACTGTGCTCATGTATGAGATAGTAGATATTTGTCTTAATGATACCTAGCCAACGTGTATTACTGCTTGTATGGTAGGTCATAACAGAAGAGCTTGGACTGAACATTGAAAATTTGGAGTTCGAGATGCTGGGAACAAGTAAAGAGGTATTTTTGCTGCGTGATTTGGCTGTAGTTGTTTCTTTTACTATGTATGTTTTCTTTTGAATATATAAGTGCATGAGAAAATTGTGCATAATGTGATGCATGTTTGGTATTTCTAGTGAGTTATATGCTGGGTAGGGGGGATCGACTTTATCTATGTGTCTCCTACTGTTAAGTTTACTCATGCTTTCCTTTTCTTAGGCGACTATCTCTAAGGATGATACTGTCATTCTTGATGGTGCTGGTGAGAAGAAGTCCATAGAGGAACGATGTGAACTGGTTCGTCTTGCTTTCTTTTTCACCAATATCGGTACAAGCACTGTACTTCAGCATGGAGTTGAGCATATACTCGTTCTCTTTGTATTTGCAGATTAGATCAACCATTGAACAGAGCACATCTGACTATGACAAGGAGAAGTTGCAGGAAAGACTAGCTAAGCTTTCAGGGGGTGTTGCTGTGTTAAAGGTATGCCTTTGTTTGCAACCTGTGTAAATTCAGTGCTAAAGAAGAATTCAAACTTTTCTATCAGAGGAAAGAAGTTGCAACTGTTAATTCGGACTCGTTATTATAATATGCCATCACAGTATGTGTACTAATTTTCAGATTGGAGGTGCCAGTGAAGCTGAGGTTGGTGAAAAGAAAGATAGAGTAACTGATGCTTTGAATGCCACAAAGGCTGCAGTGGAGGAAGGAATTGTTCCAGGTTAATATATGTCTGTGAATTCGTAGCAAAATGGGAAGAGCCAATTAGTCGGAGATTATTGATCCTTTTGTCTTGCAGGTGGTGGTGTTGCTCTTCTTTATGCAGCAAGAGAATTGGATAATTTGACAACAGCCAACTTTGACCAGAAGATTGGTGTACAAATTATTCAGAATGCTCTGAAGGTTTGCTGTACTCCTTTTTAACCCTGCTAATTAGCTTCTTAGAAATAGAGTAATTTCACTCGAGGTATATCTTGTGTTGTGAATGACTTCTGACTTGGTTGAACTTGTGTTTGCAGACACCAGTACATACAATAGCCTCTAACGCAGGAGTAGAGGGTGCTGTCGTGGTTGGTAAACTGTTGGATCAGGACAACCTTGATCTTGGATATGATGCGGCCAAGGGTGAATATGTGGATATGATAAAGGCAGGGATTATTGATCCAGTGAAAGTGATTAGGACAGCTTTGGTTGATGCTGCCAGGTTAGCATATATCACCCCCTTCCTATTTTCTTGTTCTTTTGTCGTTAAGACATTGGCCTCACATTCTTGCTAACTTCCCTTTTTGTGTTGTGTTCTATGCAGCGTCTCGTCTCTCTTGACCACAACTGAAGCAGTTGTTGTCGAGCTTCCTAAGGATGAGAAGGAATCTCCTGCAATGGGTGGCGGTATGGGTGGTGGTATGGGTGGCATGGACTTCTAATTGAAAAGCCAAAAACAGTAATTGCAGCTGCTTGACACACATTTGTTTAGAACAAAGCAAAATAAATAAATTTAGAGTTGTTTCCTATTTTGATGAATCTTAACGATAGAAAATGCGCCTATTGTATCAATAGCAAGAGAGACCATTGTGAATTCATGTTTTTGTAGGTTCAAAATTTGTAGTCTTCATTTGAATACGCAGCATTTTGGTTAGCAAAATATAAGGTCCATTTCAGTGTTCTCTTTTGTTTTGGTGTCCTTTCTGGGTTTACTATTATTTTGAGGTGATGAATTTATACCTGTTCTACTGTTCTTTTTTCGGAACGTTTTGACTAGGGAGATCGAATCTCTCAAAGCAACGTTTTTTAGCAGCAAGCTATGGTCTATTTTTTCCGCGGTTGAAATTGACGAATGAGAAACATTTAGACAGTGCACCCGTGACCAAAATTAGAAGGAGCATCAGATTAAGGTGTCCAAATGCAAGATTGGTTGATTATAAATTGGACCCTATTATCGTTGAAGAATTCTGAATATTCCAAATATGTTATAACCTACTATATTGACGGTATAGTATGGACATTTTTGAACGATAGTTTAAGAGAATTTTTTATTCTTTCCGTTTATTATTCTATGTTTGGTAAAGTGGATCCTCATTTACAATAAACTCCTAATTGGGAAGTTATGACTAAGTATGATTTTTTTAAAACATTTTAGAGATCAAATAGATGTAAATAAGTTACCCTTTTCACACTATATTAATCAATTATTCATATGGGATTATTCTAAGAATTTAAATATAATTATATTTATTATTGTTCTTCCAATACATATTTGAAGTATAATTAGAATATTCTCTTTTGCTTACTGCAATTTATTTAATAATTTTCCATATTTGGCATTTGATGATCTCTTATGAATTTAACTTATATATAATGTATAAGTATTTCAAAGCGATTTGACAGTATAAAAACCATCTACCCTTATAGTAGTTAAACCCAAAAACAAGAAAATTTTAACTTTCTTTTTGGTATGGCTTATTCACAAATCAAAGCTATTTTCTTGCTATGCATTTTATGTTTTTGCTTTCCACAAGCGAAAGGGAGTATTTTTGATGGGCCAAAATATAATGTTTATGTATGGAATGCCCTACCAAATAATTCCCCTACACTAACGGTTCATTGTGCATCTAAAGACGATGATATTGGATTTCATGACATTGCTCCAACAACTTATATCAATTGGTCATTTCATGCTAGTACATTATTGAAAACTATGTTCTTTTGTCATTTCTGGTGGAATTCTAACGATAAAGCTTTTGAGGTATTTAATGATCTCGATACGTGTGTTAAGGATTCAAATATTACAGCTCGTGCAACTGTTTGTCAATGGACTGTAAAGGAAGATGGTTTTTATTTGACTGATGGTCAAAATGTAGGTTATAAATATGCTGATTGGTGAAAGACTATAGTTTATTTGTTTTAATATGTAATGGTTCATAGTAATAAATAAAAGTAAATTTTTTGTTGAGTCATTGATTTCTCAATGTATTGAATTATTAATTAGTGTGTTAAAATGATTCTAATCCTTTTCTAGGTTATGTTTAATAATATTTTCTTAGGTTTTTGCTCTTTACCTAGAGGTAGAACCAATCAAGACAGAACACTAGCCTCGTTTTGTAGACAGGTGTGCTCTTATCCCCGCTCTTGAAGGAAGACGCGGTCTTAACAAGAGCTTTATATGAATCAATGGATCGTGACATGTCATTATTACTAGGCACCAACAATGACTTCTTCTTTCATTACTTCGTTTTTTCTATATCCCTCTCCTTTGTTTGGCATGATAACAGGTGATTAGGTGAGGAAAAACGAAGTCAAGCCTGACCAGAAAAATCAGTTAAATTGGTCAATCTCTATTATTATGTAAACAACATACCCTATAGAATCCCGCATGTGGGGTTTGAGGAGGATAGAGTATAGGCAGACCATACCCCTACCTCGTGGAGGAAAGGAGACTGTTTCCGAAGGACCCCAAGCTCGAGTAAGTAATTTCGAATAGTTGAATGACCATTTGAGTAATGGACTCAGAAAAGGTTTTTACCAGAAGAGTCGAACAATAGACATAAGCATTGTCAAGAAAACAGCCAACACATAACAAAATTACAGTATCAATATAAATTTATCCCATTGCTAAAACGTCTAAAATCAGTATACTGGGTGATTTTCTTCTATTTCTATCACTTTCCTTTCCGCTTCTTTTGCGTTCCTGCACAATCCGCGCAAAACCATTTCCCCTTCGGCTGTTCTTTGAGGCCAACACAGCCGTAGTGGAACCACTCTATTTTGCACTGTTGAAGGGCATAATCAATTTTAGGAAATGTTCAATGTACTAAAGTTTAAGGAGATGATTGGTAAGACTTAGCTGAGTACGTACATTAGGATTGTCGCAAGCAACCATTTCACCATAGCTAACTTGATTGCAGAAACAGTATGTTGGTTCGTTTGGATCAACAGGCAGATCCAAGTCCATTCCACTTGGTGTTGCTGCAGTGGCTGTAGCTGCAGCTGCTGTAGCAAGACGTGTTCTGCAGAACAAATTATTCTCTTCAGCACAAGTTTAATCTAAATACCACACAAGGACAGATATATACATTTACACGAGTTTATCCGTCAGGCCACAGAAACCGACAGACAACAACTCCCATGAGTGGCTTCCCTTGGCCACAGAAACCGACAGAATAGACAAAGAACATTGGGACTTGGAAAACTAACACCAATAGAAAATTAAGCTGGTTCAGTTGCCAAGGGAAACCACTTCTTTCCAAACTCATGGATCAAGCGTTGTTCTGCTTACACTTAATGAAACTTTTTGCGGGTTATAAGGGAAAAGGATAAAATGTTTGTTTAGAAATTACAAGACAACTACATTTCTGATAAAGAATAGCAACCTAGGGTAAAATATTTGGGGGCAAAGGTACAAGGCAAAACAACATGATATACCTCATTATTTATGTAAATCTTTTTGCTAACTGTGAAAAAAGAGAATAAAAAAGAAACGAGCACTTCTCTTGAATCTCTATAAGTAGCATATTTTTCACTTAATCAGCTGAGAGGAGATTATGTCCCCAAAGAAATGGAGAAAGGGAAGGGGGGTCTTGAAAATATCCCACTTCCTATTGAATGTGGATGTTGGATATTATAAAAGGAAGGAAAGATTTCATCGGTAACATAAGAAAGAAAACCAGCTTTGGAATCACAAATGGTGTAGGAAGTGATGTTGAGACTGACATCCCTAAACATTTGCAATCTCGAGCAGAAGGAGATGAGTACAAGATTTGAAAGTTACCAGAGGGAGAAGTTCATTGGGATGTAAGGGTCAGGAAGAACCTAAAGGACTAAGAAGTAGATGAATTCCTGACCTAGTCGAAATGTTTCACAAGCAAAGTACATCACATGATTGTCAAAGCTCATGGAGATGGGTTGGGAAGAGAAAGATCGGTTTCAGTGAAGTCATTATTATAAGCCTCGATGTAAAATTCCTTATTTAGGAAACTTACATTAGCTTATACTTTCCTCATTTCCCTAGTTTTTTAATTAGGTAAATAATTTTATTAACAAGGGTAAAATCTCTCGTGTACCAGAAGTATACCAAAAAGTAGAGAATCTACAATGTAATATGAAATTCAAGAGACTATTGCACTTATATTTAGATATATTTATTAAAGGTATGAAATGTTCTAAATGGTAATGCAATATAATTAGGAGTTTTGGGTATTTATGAAAGTTGCTTCAATGTAAACTTCCTTATTTAGGAAACTTACCTTAGTTTATACTTTCCTCCTTTACCAATTTTTTATTTTTTTTATTTCATGTAATCTAAACTCTTATGTAAGGAACCCTCAGTTTTTTTAATTAGGTAAATAATTTTATTAACAATGATATAATCTCTCGTGTGCTAGAAGTATAACCAAAAGTAGAGAATCTACAACATATGATTTTCTAAGTACGGCAACCAATCATTTATACTAGCTGGAACCTCATAGGTGCATCAAAAAGATACTAGAAATGAGAGGCTATTGCTCAAACATTGCATAGCTATTCTCTATCCATCCAAAGTTCTCCGATTTCTTTCCTTCCACAGGCCCACGCAGTGGCAAATTTACCATATAAAATATGGTTCACGCCGTTGATTCATTCCATTGATTTATTTGTGCGAGCTATGGATTTTTCCGTTGGTTGATTCTCGAAATAAACTCGTGGTCACCCGACTAAACTAGATATATTATGCGTATAGTTTGTTGAATATATCTAGTATTATCTGAAGGAACCCATGGTGAAAAGACGCTGAGTGGTTCATTGGTTTGAGCTCTAGTTTGAGTGAATCCCACTTGATGGTCGAGGGATCGAATCCGCTTGATTCCGTTTTCGTCTTAGTTTTTTACCTTTTTATTTCTAAAGCTGCTAAGCAGCGGTCCTTTTTTTACTTTCAAACCTCTTTCCCTCTTATTCTTTAGCAGCTGTCCTTTTTTCCCTTTTAAAGCCTCTTTTCCTCTTCTAATAACATCGATAGCAGCCACAGCCCACAAAACTTATTTCTTTCTTTTCCTTTCTTTATTCTAAAGAAAAAGCTCTTGTTTCCGTAGCTTGGAACACTTTTAGAGTTTTCTCCTTCCCAAAAATTATTTTATTCTCTATTATAGTATCACTCTCTAATCCCTATTTATCATAAAACAAAAAACCCCAATCGGTATTGCCTTTTTATTGCTCTAAAACCTAAATGCTAAATCATCATCGCAAAGGCCAAGAAGAGGAATCAAGAACGGAAACAGCCGCTCTACCTCCACGAGGTAGTGGTAAGGTTTCGCATACACTCTACCCTCCCCAGACGGGCCAATGCCCACTTAGATTTCACTGGCTATGTTGTTGTTGTTGTTGTTGTTTCAAAGTATGAAATCTCGCAGAGTACAATTGTAAATTGGTGATGTCTTTTGTGCTAGTATAATTATCTTTTACCCACCAAGTTGTTGTCACTATAATATTTTATATCTTATCTTAAAAGCAATGGTACACCCATCTTCTCAAAATCTCGGATTCGTCTCTACTCACATGGATGCTAATGGGGCAATATCCCACTCTTCTCCTTCTCCTTCTAAATTTTTAGCCAGAGAACACCTCCTTCACTGTGCCTTGCATATCCCATGGCAGTCCAAACCATCTCAAAATATCGCACCACAAACGAGTTGCGACATCTTCACATGAGCATTTGCACACGAAGCCAATGTTGTTCCCTTGCTGTCAGGCGAGTAAGAAGACAAACATTTTTTGGTGCCGTGGAAATTCAAACTAGTAAATGCGAAAAATCCAATTCCTCCCTTACAAAGGGCAACTTTCCTAAATACCCAAAACTCTAAATTATATCATTACCATTTAGAACCTTTCATTCTTTTAATAGATAAATATAACTGCAATAGCTTGTTGAATTTCATATTATGTTGTAGATTTTCTACTTTCTGGTATACTTCTAGTACATGAGAGATTTTTTACCATTGTTTATAAAATAATTAACCTAGTAAAAAAACTGGGGGTTCCTTAATAAGAGTTTAGATTTACAAGAAAATAAAAAAATTAGGCAAACGAGGAAAGTATAAATTAAGGCAAGTTTCCTAAATAAGGAAGTTTACATTGAGGCAACTTCCCTAAATACCCAAAACTCCTAATTATATCATTACCATTTAGAATATTTCATAGCTTTAATAGATATCTCTATAAGTGCAATAGTCTCTCTTGTTTTTTCAACATGCCCTCTCAAACTCAAGGTGATAAAGCAAATCAAAACGGGAGTATTACCAGACAAAGTTACTGTTGACTTGACTTGATGAGACAAGTATACCACAAGCAAATCAAAACAGGAAAATCAAGTCAAGTATATTCATTTCTCCAAAAAGTCATTGGAAATGCACACCAAAAAGATGTTTCTTGCAGCATACACAGAAAAGAAATGTATTCCCATTAATGAAGGAGGTATGATGACACAAATATCCAAAACGCCATCAGCTTAGCTTGAATCGGCCGCTGAGGAGCAACTGGAAAAGTGATCAAACAATGGCGAAAAACTAAATGTTCAAGGGAGATTAATATCTAAAATCTAATAACAAAAAACAAGAGACGAAAACTCTCGGCGCAATTGGAAATAAAAACTGAAATGAGGGCCTCAGTGCACAAACTCTAGTACCATGAAAGAAAGAAGAGAAGAAAATCTCTAAGACAATGAGCAGAAATTCAATGTTTGAAGTAGGAACTAAATACTCGTACACTTACACAATTAATAAAATATGAAAAGGAGTTCGGAGGAATATTTTTACTTGAAAATTGTTGGAGGAATGGATGGAATAGTGGTCTAGAGAGATGGTGCCACCAGGGGTGGATGCAACATGTTGGGTGCAGGTTTCAGGGAACAAGTAGCTTTTGCTGAAATCCTACATATGTATTAAAATATTCCCTAACTATTTATATTTTTTTATTGTGAACTAGTATTATCGTATATTAGAAGTCGTTGTAAGAACCCATAAATTTCAGCTCCTGGACCCACCTCTGCCTCTAAGTGCCACCAGAAGGATAACCAAAAAAGACGCATAATAGTCATAGGAAAGAGAACAGGAATATCAAACTTATAAAAAGAAGAAGCAACTTTGGCAAAGTAGACATCATAAGCAGGCCAACAGTAGGCCGGTGTTACATTGGTCTTTACTGGCGTCATAGAAGCTCTGATACCATATGAAAAAAAATAAAAAAATGGAACTTGTCTAGAATTGGTTGGTGAATAACACAACTAAGAGCTCCTTATAAGAAAAATTTTAAAGCAAAAAATTAGGAAAGTTGCAGCTAAAGCAAGTTTCCTACGAAAAGACCATTCAGTGATTACTATGATGGCTTTATATTTAGGAAAAAGATATAGCACTTACTTTTTACGCCCTCCCTTACCCTCACCAGACCTTCCAGATTTGACGTTATTTTCAACAGTGGTAGCAGGAGCTCCAGTAACAACAGCAGTATCCCTTTCTGCATAAAAGAGAAAGTTGTTCTACAGTAAGAGAATGAGTAAGTTTGGCCACTGTTCTTGGTGAAAAGATGAGGAAGCTGATACAGACATACCTCTCCGGAGATCTTCGTCAAACTTTTTCAAGTACTGATCAAGCTGCTGAATATGAGCATCTACCTGTTGCAAGAATTTTCTCACTGATTGCCATAAAGAGTAGATTAACGATACAATAATAAACAAAACCTACTACCCTTACCAAACCTCAATTTCAAACCACACAATTATCACTTCATCTGAGAAGGAATAAAAACAATAGTACATACCAGTGAAGAAATGTGTACAACCAGTCATTTACTCCTCCTCATTGTATCAGTTTGTATTTATGCATGATATTCATTCAGTTAACACCTGGCAAATCTTGTCTAAGTGCATCTTGGAGCATATTATCAAGGAAGTTTACATCTAAACTTCAGTCTTATAAGGGATTCAGTAACCAAAACTAAGTTCATGTTTGGGTTGCTTATATAAAAATCTTACAGAAGCTCCTTAGATAGTGGCCCTGGGAATTTATACAACTTCTCAGGACATGATTTTATGATCACAATTCACAATCATGATCATTTTTGTGTCCTTGACATATCAAAATTGGAAAAATTACCTATCCACCAAATAGTCAAACAGGAACTTGGTAATAATTGTCATTCAAAACCACCCTCTAGGTAATGCCGTAAGTTTTCTCTTTTATAATTCAAGAACGAAGGGAATTTAGACAAATAAGTTCTTCTAAAGGTCAAGAATTAACAAATTTCTTCAAAGATTAACTCATAAACATTTCTACATTCTATCTCATTCAAGTATCAAGTGAATAAGACTAAGTAACTTCACCACGATCATCATCATCCAACTTACAAAGAAAGCTAAAATAAGGAGACTGAACAACTAAGCTTAAAGTGAATGCACCTAGAATAGATTGAACTGAAGGAACTGTGAATATTGAACGAAACATTTTAATTGATGTAGAAAGAAGATGCAGTTTCCAAAATCCCTACCAGATCATATGCCTGAGAAGCAAGTGCAACTTTTTCATCAGCAATCCTGATTGCATGCTTTTGCTCATCCAATGCATCATCAGAGAATTTGATTAGTGAAGAGTCTGGTGTCACATTACCAGCCTTAATACGTTGTATCATATCCTCTATTTCTTTGTCACAACATTGTTCATTTTGGGTCTGGACTCCTGTTCAGAAAAAAACACTTATTTGGTAATAATGCCACAAACTAAGAAATGAAGAAACAGCATACACCATTACCCCTGATGTGCTTGTGTCGAGCTACTAACACAGCAGTGCTAAATGCTATTAAGAATCTTAGAAAATTATCCTATTTTCTCATAGCCAATCAGGAGTATATTTATCAACATCGTTTTTTGCATTCTTAAAAAACCAACGGGGCCAGTGGCAATCAGAAGACCAAAGCATTACTGTTCTGTTATGCAATTTAACGGGGATATACCAGTGAATCTTCTACAATTCCACTATACTAGGCATTTCATTAGATATAATGCAAGGGGACTCCATGAAGATTAAGCTTCCTGTCAGCATGTGCCAAAGACAGCTCCTTATTCCACTCAAAATGCATAGTGTTTCCACAATCAGAAAATTATCAATCGACTCAACAATGTACAAATGTACTTAATTAAGCACATCGCAATGGAAAGTCAGAAAGAAACTAACTTGCGTAAGAAAACATTAAGTCCAATAATATATAAAGTTTGCACCATAAGTAATACCTTGCAGACTTTTATCCAAATCACGCAGCAACGCATACTTCCTCCGCAAATGGTTCGGAAGAGCTTCGATATCTGAGACAATATCATCAATGTAGCACTTGTTAGAAATCAAAGCATAATTGCATAAAGGAATAACTAATTCCTCTATAATTAATCACACACCACTCTTACACAGACAATACTAAAAATCATGCTCGAATACTAAAAATCACTCTCGAGTGTTCCACGTCACTTAGGCAGCGTTTCAATTCAGGGACCAGAACAATAAAAGGCGTGCATCTTATCACTAATAGGTTCTATCATGAAATAGGAATCACTAAACAATAACTATTTCACTTAATCACTAATCTTGATTTAATCTAATCCAATTTAGCTCCAAAAAAAATAGTCAAATGGACCAAATAAAAAACAAAAGTTACGCGCAAATTCTCATTGGCTATTCATTTAAGTCTTCGGGTAGCACCACTAGATCTTCAAAAAGGTGGAAATTCTCGTATTCCAGCTCGGATGAGTATTTTTATTTATATAATTACAGATACAAACACTTGTTTTTTTTTTGTTTCTATTAACAAAACATCCCTTTTTTCATCTCGAAGCAAAACGTGACAACTATTTTGGCACATAAAGTACACAGCATCCTTAGAATTGTACTGAATTTATTTTTTCTCAATTTCAGGCTTATGAATTCGAAACAAAAATTCAATCTTTATATGAATCTATAAAACAGAAATTGGAACAGATAAAAAAATATTTTAAAAAATTATAAAAAATTCAAAAAAAAATAATTGAAACTTACTGGCTTGAAATTCTTCGATGAATGACATTTTTCTGAGATTCTTACAGCCAGCGATGAATTATTGATTTTGAGTTTCAAGCCCTAATATGGGCTTCGATTAGACTTAGCTCAACATATTTATACTCTAAAAAAGTTTCTGGATTTTGTAAATCCCTCTTATAAAGAGTTTTTAAACGGGCGCGGGGCGGATGTGGAGCGGGTGGGTTTCGCTTCAGGCGGGGCGGGTTGGTCCTTTTACGGACAGGTGCAAGGCAGAGCGGGTTGAAGTAAAATTTTAAAGATCTTGTTTGTGTAACGGGGTGAGTTGCGGGTTTCACAATTTATTTTTTTAATATATTATTAATTTCATTGAGATATTGTTTCATTGTCATCCGTATTTATAAGAGAAATATATGTGAATTACACTAAATACATGCATATGGGATACCAGATACAGTGAAAGAGGCGAACGAGAGAGAGGAGTTGCGAGCGAGAGAGCCATACACATGTGAATCCATTATGATACAATGTATCTAGAACAAATTACACCTAATTTTGATCTCATGTATTCAAGATACATGTATCTAAATGCGTCAGATACATGTAACTGAAGTTCAAAATCTTGTAAGATTCGCAATATTGCTAACTAGCATGAACCTAATTAATTAGCTCCTAAATAGTGGGAAATATGTAAATTGTTTTTTTTTTTTTTAGAAAATACTAGTATTACTTAATTTATATTGTAAAAATATAGCCTAAAATATACGCTATAAATATTTAGCCCAAAATTCAATCCAATATACAAAATTTGATATACAATTACACACCTAATATACATTATTATACACTATTATAAATAAAAACTGACTTCTCTTTTTCCTTGAATCTAAGCACTAGATTTATCCAAAACACATTAACAGCTACACGAAATCACTCAAAATTTGAGAGTTAGGATCCTCAATATGTAATCGATCTTTCAAACAATATTTCCTCAAAACATAGATTATTTACGAAATTCGAATTTCAAAATTTAGAAGTTTCGAGCTTCAACATGGTTGAGTATCGATTCTCTGTTGACTTTGTGAAAAAAATTGGTTTATCTCTTTTTTTCACATTTGAACTTCTTATAATATGACAATAGGGAGTTGCTCGTATATTAAGCATCCTCACTCAATCTTAATATAATTATCGATTTAAGAACCCACTCTCATAACACTTGCATAAATAATGCCTATATTCTAACTAAACTTCAACAAATCCATATATTCACTTGCTCCCAAAAATAAGGCCGCTGACTCACTCAAAATGACACAAATAATAAACCAATTATATCATATTCATACCTAACAACTTATATATCATTATTACTAAGATCTTATCAATGTACTAAAAAGAACAAAAAAGGCTGTTCAAATCATTTTTTATAATTATCATTGTCGGTATAATCTTAAAAGTAGCACCAAACAAATAATAGAAACAACATTTGAAAAGGGTAATGTAAAAATACATTTTTAAAATATAAATCATGGCAAGAATTGATTTGAACTATGTCAGCTACTAGCTAATAATAATTTTAAATCCCAAATATTTTTAATTAGGGTAAAAATAAAAGAAAATAGCATTTCTATATACACATTCATTGAATAATGCTTTTATGGGAGGTAATTTAGAGCATACGGTTCTAAATTCTAGAAAATATGTGTCATCAAGGAAATTCAACCAGTGAACTTAAAATTATAAATCCATTTTGTGATCACACATTATCTATGGTAGGCGAGCACAAACTATTATTGACTACTTCGCCTATCCATTCTATTATGGCTGACTTGAAGACATCAGAAGATCACCATTTCTATCTAGATACAATCGTTGCTTCATTCTACGAGATCCACGACTTTCTTATCACCTCATTCGAGTTAAGATGTAACTAAATTGGTTAAATTAATAGAAGCCATCAAAATTCATACAACAAAAATAATGAAATCACTTGCTAATGATGATTTGCTTAATGTGTAATCAACAAAATTATGAAAATTAATACCCTTGAGCACCGTTCCTTTCTGTCCAACGGTACTTACTAGTAATATAATTAATTAATTATAATTCCCCTTAAACGCGTAATTAACAAGGACCCCATATATTCTTTTCTATTAAAAAATAATTTAAATTAGACATTGTTAAAACGTTAATATGCATGTCATCTTTATTCGTTACAACAAGTTACATATTTTTAAAATTGCAAAGATCACATTTTGAGATAATTTATTTGTAGATATCTTTTCGGTAAACTTTACTATAAAAAAAATGTTACATTCACGATCTAACTTGTCAATAACTTTCATTTAGACGTTTGAGCTATGATTTGTTTAACTTAAGCATCTAAATATATGATAATATGTTTCGATTAGACATTTTCAATTTAAATTTTGATAAAAACTTTTACGTGTAATCTCGAAAAATATGCATAGCTGGCATGGATATAATAGGGTCAAACTTATTTGTACTAACCTAATTTGTCATCTTATGTTCGTCTTGCATGGCTTAAAGTCTTTAAAAACAATCAAAGTTTTTGCTTTTACAGCCTAAGATCCTCTTTCTTCATTTTCACTCTTTTACTTTTTTATTTATTTTTCTTTAGACTAACAATTTTTAAGAATTAATATAATAAGATTTGGGAACATTTGATGAATTAATTGTGTATAAAAATAATAAGGGATAAAGAAAAGTACTTCAAGTTTTCTTTTTTTCCTTGATTTGGTTTTGAAATGATTAAACATATCATACTAAATGATTATCCTAGCTAGTATTACATTATATTGTGGGAATAAAATAAAACCATGTGTTCTATCATATATGATAAAACATAAGAGGTTCAAAGACAGATTTAGAATTTTTAAGCTATGAGTTTTGGATCACAATGCTCATTCGTGTTCTGAATAATTATTTATACATATTAAGTGATTTTTAAAAAGTAAATTGATATATAATTTGCGATAAAATTACTGAACTGATATAATCATAATGGTGGCTTTGCCTCTAATGGGGTAAGGTAAAAAATCTAGGTTACCTATGTTTCAACATTTATAATATAACATGTTAAAATATATCAATAATGTGTAATTTGTTTACACTATCAAAATAAGGGCAATCTAGTGCACTAAGCTTTCAATATATGTGTGAGATTTAGAGAAGAGTCGAACCACAAGAATCTATTGAGCGTGAAGTACTTATAAAGTTTAAATCTTGACTTCGCCTCAAATTCTACGTAACAAAATGTGAAATAAATGAAACTCAATATGTACAACACTGCTAAGACAAAATATATTATGTATAATAAATTCCAGCACCTATTCACTCCAATAGTTATAGTCAGGGTACTCTGCATGTGAAAAAAATTTGGTAGTTGTTATTCATGTGTGAATTATTTAATACAGACTCATCTTTGTCAAATAATAAAAGGATAAGGTATAAGTAAGTAGCTCCTAGACTATAATCGAAATTTAGAGATACATCTTAATTAAACTAAGGTCCTATTATCTCCTGAACTCATTTTTTTTGTAATTTTATACACCTTTTGGCTTACATGCACACACCGTGACTCCACATAATTGAGGTGCGTGGAAGATGATTAGATGTCACGTAAGCCAAAAAGGTGTACAAAATTACAAAAAAAAATGAGTTCAGAGATAATGGGACGTTAGTTTAATTATGGTGTGTCTCTGGAATTTCGGTCATAGTGTAGGAAGATTTATCCCAATATTAACATTTTCAATAGGATATTTTTTATTTTTTAAAAAGGGGCATCCTGGTGCACTCTGCCCAGTCCAGGGAAGGATTGGACAACAATGGTCTATTTTACGCAATTTTATCCTACATTTTTGCAAGAGACTGTTATCACACCTCAAATCTGTGACTTCCTAATCACGTGACAACAACTTTACCAGTTACGTCAAGACTCCCCTTCCTCAATAGGATTTTTTAATAGTATAAAACTATAAGGAGCCTCATTCTCTCTCACATGTTTTAGAGTGTCTTGCTTACTTGAACTCAATCTTAAACTCATACCTCCAGCTCTATCTTCAAGAAAATTAACAAAAGGTTAGAATTTACTTTATGTTTATTATATTCTAATCATTCTCTATTACTAGTTCTTAATTGCTTGTGTTTTTTGAACAAGTTTAACCAATTAACTTCTTGTTACAAAGTTTAATTATATTCAAGTGAAAGAAATGAAGGTACATTATAAACAATTCTATACATAATGCTTTATTCTTTGTCTAATTTGGTTTGAAATTCAAAAAGTTTAAAATTTTCCTTAGTAGTTAATAGTTGGTAAACAAATAGAGAAAACTTCATGATTTTACTAATTAGCACTAACTATTCATGTAACTTATTTTGTTCAATATTGTGAGAATCCATCATAAATTGACTAGTTTTACGCACCAGCAATGTGAACAAGCTCATACAAGCAGAGTTATTTTATTCGAAAAAAGTAAATTTTCTCCTTAACAAGTTATTCATTAATTTCTGAAAAGCCTAAGAAATTTTTGAGTGTTTGACTATGATTGTTGTTGTATGTTGTGCAAGCTATTCTCAATTTTTTTTGGATTTAACGTTGCGATTGCTTTAAAGGTTGAGGTAAGATGGTAGAAGACAACATAGATGACAATGAGGTAGAACAATGGGGAGACTTTCCTGTAGCATTATTACAACAGAAGAGTATGGAATATGCAATTATAAGCAAGAGGTCATCGCGAGCTCGTTATTCCTATGGCATTATATTCTTGATAACAAATCTTATAGCTTGGTTTGTCCGCGATTATGGTGAAAGGGTTCTTCCTCTGCTTCATTGTAAGTCCCAACATTCTTACCGTTCCACATTGTTGACATTGCAAACTTACTGTCATATATTTATGCTTCTGTAGTTGCTACAGAATGTTGCATGCTAGGTAAATGAAATAACCTACTTAGTTAACAGCTGAACGCTCTAACCACTGAGCTACTGAGGAACAATAGATAAGTACGAGGACATAGAGTTCAATTCCTGCTTTCAATTCATTTCCTAAATTTCAACAGGCCATAACGGTCTTATGACTCGTTTCAATCTTGCATATGACTTGATTCTGCTTTCTATACAACTGTTTTTAATGATGTCACAATATATGCCTCTTGATTCGTGTTTCAAATTTTATCTGCAGACTCAAAAGCATGTGGAAATGGCGGAAGTGAATGTTCTCACACGATGGGGGTTCTTCGTGTGAGTTTAGGTTGTTTTGTATCCTTTTTCTTTAGAATGTGGTTCTGT